ATACCATAAAAAAGGATGCCATCTTAACTGAAGATCATGTCCCTCCAGTAATACTAATCTTCTATGCCTCAAATTCATCCATTTTTTTATCCATTCAAGTACAGATGCTTGATAATATAGCTCCCAATCCGGTAGCCCCCATTGCCTTTAGACTCCTGTAACATTTTCAATTTTATTCTTGCTTTTTTCCCTTGCCAGATATATTTCAAAATTGTTTTATTTAATTCTTCAAAATACTTTTCTCTAGTTTTATTGGTATTGTTTGAAATAAGAAAAGTAACTTCAGTAATATTTAATAAATATTAAGTAGCCGTGATTGAAATTCTTCCTTATTCCAATAGGCCTGAAGTACAAGATAAGTATAGAAATAAACAGATTAACTAGTGGGTAATTAATAGAAGTTTAATCATTGTATCTGCCTCAATGAAGGCTTTCTTAAATACAAATGATTTAAAAAATTGACTGTTGAATTCATTTTATGAGCTGACAAAGATTATTTAGTGCAGCATGTGTGGTATGAAAGATGCCAATTGCTACATTTGATCAAATAATGTTGCAGTACATGAAAAGTTAATAAAGAAAATATAAATTTTTCTGTTAAGCCTAAAAATGGGTGATGAACAGGTAAAAGAGATAATGATAGTATGGGCAAAAATGTTTGGATACAATATAGAACTAACAAAATGGCAAAACTGTGGGAAATAAATTGTAAGTTGATAATGGCAACTACTTATAAGGCGAATCTATATAAAATGTTTTATATGTGGCACTAACCACCAGCGAGATTAGCAAAGTTGTTTAAAAATTTGTCCGCCAGATGTTGGAAATGTAACTAGACACTGGGCATGTATTATCATGGTGAACATGTGCAAAAGCAAAGAAATATTGGAAATAAATACATACATGGTTAGAAAAAAGGTTAAAACAGTACGTAGATTATAAGCCAGAAATATTTTTGTTAGGCATGGTACCAGAAAAGTATGATAAAGGGAACTTAATGTTACATGTATTTAATATTACATGTATTGACAGCAGCAATAATTGTATTTGCACAGTACTGGAAAAATGAGGAAAAACCCATACAACAGAAAATATAATTAAAAAATTTTTTAGATTGTGCAGAATTGGACAGATTGACATTAAAGATAAAAGAAAAAGAAAATGCAGAGTATTTTTGAACATGGGATTTGTTTTAAAAATGGTTGGATAATAGAGGTAGAAATTAGGAGCAGGAAAATTATATAAGCAAAATGATCCGGACAATATGCTATTCACCAAGCACTTATGTATGTAAAGTGAAAATGTATTTAAAAAACTATTAAAAAAAGATACCAATTGCTGTTTCAATAAGTAGGATTTTTACTAATGTTACTTTATTCTGATTGGCAGGGATGACCATATTGCGGCTTTATTAACAATGAGAGGAGATGCCAGCAGAGAGATGAAGCAGACCATCATTGAAACTTTGGATAAAGGGCCAAGCCAGCCAAATCCAAATTATGTGCCACTTTTTAAAGAAATTATAGTTCCAACACTAACTGTGCCAAAGCTTCTTAAGTAATAACAATAGTTATGTAACACTTTTAATGTCAAAATTTGCAATGTTTTAGCTTATAATGAATATAGAGAAAATATGAATTTCTTGCAAAGCCTTTTTCTCTCCTTTAACGCTTGTAACAAGATAAAAGAATACCTAATTCAGTCACTGAAAAAATGTATCATGTCCAAGAATGTATGATATTTTAGAATTGCATCTTTACCATTATTAATAGATCCCCCTCACTTGCATTTTTGTGTGTATTTCAGGAAAAATATAAAGAGTCAACTTATGTCTGGTTTGGATAAAAAATGGAAAGCAGCAATATTTTAAGGGTACATAAATTATCACCAAATTTGAAGAGACTTGTGTTAGGTGTTTGCTTAATAAATAAATAGCAGTGGTGTTGCATTTTTGAATTGTGTGCAGATTATTTGGCTGTCCTTTTGTGAAACATTTAAATACTTAATACAGAAATTTCTGTAAAGAAAGGAGAAATGAACAGAAGAGTGCAAAACTGTATTACAGGTAATCCTTGTAGTCACAATTTGGTCCAGAAATTCAGTGATTAGGCATAACAGTTGCTAAGTGAAAATTACATGACCATGACTATACTTATTATTTTACTTTAGTTTTCCTTTGCTTGCTGCTTCCTTCAGTTGAACAGAGGTACTTTCTATTTGAGATCTTGGTATGAGGCAAATAAGCAAGTAAAGTAAAAGAAGAGAGATAACTGCAACAGGCTGTAAGGGTTGGTCCCTAAATTGCCTTTTTTACTATTTTAACTTCAAATACTAAATGAAGCAAATCACTAAGTGAAGACTACCTATAATTATAAATACTGTACTATGGTTTAGAATTAGAGGGAACAATTTAGGATATGAATCCAAAATCTTTCTCAATTTATTTCCCCAATAAATTTCCATTCAGTTTCTGCTTCAACATATCCAGCAAAGGGAAGCATACTACCTGTCTGGATAGTAATGGACAAAGTGCTCTTATCAAAATGACACTCATGGGAATAGCCGGGCCCCAAAACCTAGATTACATATAAAGCATGGAAACTGGGATACTGTAACTTGTGTAATAAAATTGAGCAGCAATCTGGACAATTAGTATGTAATTTCTCTCTCTTCACCCTTATTTTTACCAAGAAACAAAATTAATAATTGAATTAATGTACCAAAACTAATGTAAAATCAGAGTGCCTTAAAAATAAACACATTCTCATGAGATCAATGCTTTATTCATAGTGATTAAGCATTTAAAAAAAAATGAAAGGTACAGTCTTCAGCTGTTGAAAGTTTATCACTACACAAAAACACATTGAGTCTTAACTCGCAATTTTCTGATTCAACAGAATAGGACTCAGGGTTATGTTTATATGATACATCTAATGGTTATGCAACACATTTTTTTGAAGTCTCTCAAAATTTTCTTTTCAGTGAAAGTAAATAATTTAGCATATTAAATCATAAAGTTTTATTATTTTTGGCTTAGCAAGAGCATAGTCAATTCATTTTTCAAGAAACAATAAAAAAACCAATATTTAGCCTGATGTAGGAGCTCAGTTCAAATGTAGAATGCCCACATTACTAATACAATATTACATTAATACTGTATCATTAATATTGTATATTAATATAATTATATACTATTATATAATGTATTAATATATTAATATTACTAACACATCATTAAAACATTAATTTTCTACTAGGCATATTTTGTCAGTTTCAGTGAGGAGAATCAAAAGTATTTCTAAAGAAATAAGCATTAACTGGTGTCAGAAAAGTATATGAAACTGGTTTGTTAATTGATAAATTATGATTAGAAAGTTCTGTAAACACTTTTATTGGATGAATATTTCATCATTTGTGTATGTGATAAGGAAAAAAAACATTAAAAGATGGAAAACTGATTACCCTGCCTAAATTCTTCATATGCACTCAAAGCTGTATGACAGCACACATTTTCTTAGAAGCAGCTTGAGACAGAAAAAGAATTGTTAACTGCTTCTTGAAAGAAGAACAATTTCAGGGAGAATGTGGGAAGAGACAGACGTAGAAACAAGGAAAAGAACTGAGATGTGTCTGGACTCCCACAACATACTAAATTAAAATGTAGTTGTTTGTGGTTTGTTAGTGCAAAGCAAGTCAGAGAATACATGGATGATTGGGTGTTATGCAAAACCAAGCAGGTAGTTCATTAAGTGAACTGTGGGCTAGTGTGTGAATTTAAACTTGGAGTGCATGAGTGTTTCAATCAGTTCACAAGGCAAGGGCTCCTATCAAGAAGTTAATACTGATGGCTAAATATACATAACATGCTGAGACATGGTTTGTTGAATAGTTAAGCGAATAAACTACCATCTAAATCAGTGTCCAAACCAAGGCCACATGTGGCCATGGGCAGCTAGTAATGTGGCCCCATAAAACTAATAAAAAATTTTTTTGTTATTTGTATACATTAACTATATATGCAACCTAAAACAATTCCTCTTCATTCAGTGTAGCCCAGGAAAGCCAAAAGGTTGGATACCACTTGAGCTAGATCATACAAAATAAGTCATATACCAGTTTATTTATTTATTTTTATTTATTTATTTGATTTGTCAATCGCTTACAAGATAATAGGTATAAGTATAAACATGAGTAAGAATACAGGAAATAGGTACGAATAAATGGGGACAATAGGACAGGGACGTTTGGTGTGTCATGTCTTCATATGTGCTTTGTAGGATTCCTTCATTCCTTAAATCAATGGTTAGATTTGCAGATATCATTGGCTACATTAATGCAATATATCAAATTTGCCAACTATATTTTAATCTTGAGTGTCATGCAAACACAGCCAATGAAAATGAATTTGATTCATCAAAACTATTTGTATAGCTTAACCTGGAAAGAAGGAGAAACTTTCTGACAATTAGAACAATCAGCCAATGGAACAGCTTGCCCTCAGAAGTTGTGGGAGCTTCATCACTGGAAGATTTCAAGAACAGATTGGACTGCCATTTGTCAGAAATGGTGTAGGGTCTCCCGCTTGGGTGGGGGGTTGGACTAGATGACCTACAAGGTCCCTTCCAACTCTGATTATCTGTATCTGTATCAGTGAGTCTTTGCTTGGGCCCCCAAATTTGGGCTGCAATCCAGGTAACACCACTTGGCAGCTAAGTGCAGAAAAATCCCTTTCTTGCCTTTTATTGGTGGTCCTGGTATCTATAAGCCAACTGTAATACCTCCGATGATTTTCAAACCGCGTCTCAAGCACTGTGCCTCAAGCTTGGAAAATTAAACTGGCTGGCTAGGGAAATCTGGGAGTTGGAAGTCCACACATCTTAAAGCTGTCAAGTTTGAATCACTGCCCTAAATGACGAAGAAATCGCACCATTTGACAAATATTCCATAGTGTGTACAGTTTTAATTAGGTAGTAATCGTATGTAAGATTACTTATACAAGTAAACAAACATACTTAGGCGAAGCCAATATTTTTTTCCAATCATGGTTGGATACATTTAGACAACATCTTCAAGCACAAAAAACGCAGTAGAAATCGCCTTCAAAACCTTCTTTTTAGTCCAGCCCCTTCTCAGAATTCTGCCTGCCGAATCGGATGCGTCATGGTTTGTGTCAGAGAAGCAGAGGCGGCTGGTTCCTCTTAACCGAAGCTCGGACTGAAACCCGGAACTGGTTTTGGGAAGGCCGTTTCCTTTTAACGTATAGGGGTGGGGTTGGCTTTCTTTTTTCCGCAGCAAATCTAGTGCGGCATGGCGTCGGTAGGCATGCCTGACCCGAGCTTCTTGTGGGGGGTCTTCCAAAGGTGAGTCGAGTGAAGTTTCTCTTTTTTTCTTAGGGAGAGGAGCGATAAAGGTGAATCGGGGAAGGCGCCCTCGCCTCCCTCCTTTTGCGCCGGGCATTCTTGATTTGAGTCATCTTTGCTCCTGTTCTTGGCCCGCGTCATAATAAGAATATTTTCTTGTTTGATTTCAGGGTTGATAAAGACCGTAGCGGTATCATCTCAGACACCGAACTCCAACAAGCACTTTCAAACGGTAGGATGTCCTTTTATTCCCTAGAAGTGCTGCTCTGGTGATAAGAACGCCGGTTGCGTTCACACAACTCCGTTTTTTAATGTTTCACTTAATCAGACTGCATTTGGTTAACTCAAGTTTGTTGAATTCGTGTATGTTGCTAGGTTCAAAACGTAGTTTATTAGTCGGTGCTTTAATGTTTCTGGAGAGCACATCTCTTCCTCTCCTCTATAATATTTATTGTTATATAGCAGGAATGTTTTCTAACTCCAATATGAATGATCAAAAGCTGGAAAGATAAATGTAATTAAATTCAGTGATCACAACTGGAATCTGATCAATCAATTCCTAGAAAAATACACTCGAATTCTAAAACTAAAATTCAGTGTACATTTATAAATTAATTATACCCTTTTAGTTTTCTACTTCGTTATAAATTTTGGTTAGAGTGATCTCAAGTTAAATTATTTTTCTAGGAAAATATGGAGGCAAAATTTATTAATTCTGTTGTGAATTGTCTAGAGATTTTTGAGATGAAAGAGCACAACTTGCTGCTCTCAAATAGGTAAAGAGGGAAGATCGGGTTATTTCCTAAAGAGGAGCCACCAGAAATTCCAAAGATCAAATAAAAACATCAAAAGAACATTCCATAAGAAGACAATGGCAATTTCCTTGTTCCTGCTTATGAGCATGTCCAAGTAGTCCCGGAAGTCATTCAGCTTCTGGAGAGTTTACATTTATAAATTGAAAGACATTTTGGGCTGTGGTAGCTTTCAAATGGAGATATGTGTGAAAGCTAAGACAATTCAGTATATTTAGTTGAAACAAAACAGTTAATAGTTAATCACAAAAAGGATGAAAGTCCTAGTGATTGATTGATTTTAAAGAACAGTGAAGCAATTGAGTATAAAGAAATATACAAATTTGTGAAAGCTTGTTTCAAAGCTGGTGCCACTAAATATAATAAAATTTGTAGGAGGGATATTAATTTTGTTTTAACAGGTTTATTATTAAAAAAAAACCCTGAATATTGTTTTCCAGTTATATATGGCAGTAACAAATAATGCAGAAATATTTTCTTTGTTGTATTCCATTAATACAGTGAAGACAATTTTGAAATAATGTAGTTTTTAGTTTGTGATAAATCATGTAAAGAAAAGATTTACAGAAAGTTTGTGATAATAAACTGAAACAAGTGGAAGAAACAGTTTTTCTTTGTGTTTACTCGGATCATGCTGTTTCACAATATAAGAATTTTAAGAATTAGTTTAGTATCTTGAAAGTTATAACAGTATTCATTATGGCATCAGAAAATACTGTTGAAAAAGTCATGGATTTAGGCAGTGAAATTCTTCTTCTGGATCCTGTTTTAAGTTTATTAATCCTAACTTTTTTTTGTTTAGTTCCCAGTGTTTTAAGAGAATTTTTTATTGTCCGGGTCTCTGTTTCTACCTAATCAACAAACTTGAGATATAATTGCATTACATTTGTCTACACTGAGGTGTGGAAAAGGAACTACTTATTATATCTGTAAATTACAATTCTTACAAGAAATGGAAACGATCACTCAACGTCCTTTTTATATGTTGTTTTATATGTTGTACTGCAATGTTCTGTCCAACCTATTGCCAATTTTGGATATTCATACCTTTAATAAATGCTGATGAAATGACCTGGCATGCTCATACGTTGTGTCTCATGTGATTAAAGGAAAGAGCATTATTCATCTCCATTTGGAATACTGTAGACTAATTAATATTCAGTGTATAACTTGACTACAAAAAAAGCAACAGTTCTAATTTTTTTTTTGTTGGCCAACCTTACTTTCAGTGTTGAATTCAACATGCTACACATATATGAAAAATAATTCTGGGCAATCTGGAACAAACCAGTGCAGAAAAATTAAAAGTAATTGATGACTAGAAATTATAAAGGAAGATGGAAATAATCGGGAATATTTAGTTTTGAGAAGACAGAACCATCCTTGGAAGAATGGGTAGCATTCTGCAGTAACATGGAAAGAAACTACATTATTCCATGACCGGCTCTTCGTCATTACAAAGGGCAGGCAGGGATGGGGTCCGACTGGTATAATTACCGGTTCTGTTGCTCTGCGTCGTGCACGCTTGTGCAAGTTGCACAAGTGCAATTTACGACCTGTTGAGCTGCCCGGACAGCTGAGCAGTGCAGCGTGCAGGTGCGCAGCAGTTGGAAAAGCCCTTTTTTCCTGCTTTTTCAACCACAGCTGTGCCGCACAAAGCAGCTGAGGTTGAAAAAGCAGGAAATAAAGGACAGGTAAGAGCCCGGGCGGGCGGGCAAAAACAGCAGCAGGCATAGAACCGGTTCTATGTCTGTTGCTCTTCAGATCAACCGGTTCTACAGAGGTGGACAGAACTGGTAGAATCCTATCACTGAGGGCAGGTCATGTAATAAGGGCTTAAGTAACAGGAAGGTAGAGTCCAGTTGATTATTAAAAATATTGGGGTTCATTTTGCTAATCATTGAATTGTTTACAACAGTTGGTTTATATTTGCTTTTTGTTTGATAGTGTTTGTTATTGCATGTTGGGAATATGTTTATTATTAGAATTATTTGTGTTGAGCTATGTTAGAACCATAGAAAAGGTCATTTTGACTACCTTGTCCAACCCGCTATTAAGTGCTGAATGCAAATTGGAGCATTCGATCAGAGAGCTCTGTAATCTTCTCTTGAACATATACAATAAAGGGAGTTCACCATCTTTCTGAGTAAATGCTTCCATTGTCAAACTATGTTTAGTTAAACTATGGTTACGTATGTTTATCATATGGATATAAACACTAATACTTTTTAAAATAAAATATGTGGTAAGGATTTTGATAAAACATCTGTTGGGCATGAAATAGAGAGGATATTAATAAAAAAAAACATGAACTTGAAATTGCATTTTTCCCCTTGAATAGTTTTACACTATTGTTCCTTGGGGATTGAGAACGAACCAATTCCACAGTTAAGCATTCTGTGAAAAATTTAGAAAAAGATGGATTCCATCTTTGATTAAACATTCATTGGAATGGGCTGCCGAGGCAGCCGCAGCCCAAGAGACCCACTCCGCCACCTCCTGCTGTTGTGCATGACAAATCCATGTTGTGTTCTGATTCCGACCCCATGTTGGCTTCTGATATGCTTTTTGGGCATATAGCATGGTAGACTTGCTGGCACATTGTACAACAAGGTCACATAGTGTAATAAGATTTGGACTGGGTTAGGGACTTCTATCTTCCGTGAGTTGTGTTGTGGGGAGGTGCACGAAGGGAAGTTCAGCCAATCTCATTGTACACAGGTTGTACTCTGACAATAAAGGTAATAATAATATAATGAAGAGTTAATTGTAGAACATCATTTACGTGTTCACTTGGTTGTGTTTGCATGCACTAAAATGTTCTGAAATGTGTATATACACATGGTAAAAGGTATAATGAAGGATATTAGACGTTTAAGTTTTCAAGTCCTCCTAAAACAGGGATCTTTTAATACAAATTGTGGCATGGAAATTATGTATATTCCATCCAGGTTTCTATAAAGCACACCTTGTTCTAATGGTCCTTCCAGAAAAATGAAGCCAAATTGTGGATTTTTCTGTCGCAAAGAGTAAACATTAAATTTCAGGGAAAGCCTATGAAAAACACATCTGTTTCTTTTCCTTCCTCGTTTTGTGGATTTGGATTGAAATGGTGAGCTAAGAAATAATATTGATTTACAGATGCACAATTTGAGCCTCAAGGTTGTATGCAGTCCTTCAAGTCTTCTACTACAAAGTTTTACCAAAGTATAATTTAGAATGTAACAGAAAAGAGAAATTATTCATTATATCACAAGAATAACTCTATTAATTTTATTTAGTTTGAACTTATTCTAGTATTGAATTATTTATTTAAAAATAAATGAAATGATTATTTCTTAGGATCCATCTACACATTTTTGGAGTTTGGCCATCAGTGTAACACTTAAGTCTGATCTTTGACTTGGGAAACCTGTATGCTTGCAATCTAAGTTCAGGCTGCACAACCTTTTTCAGGTTGAAACTATTTTTGCCTTTGAATGGGGATCTGAAAGCTATGCTGCAAAGAAAATTGATATAATTAATACTAATAAAAATGTAATGCAGAATTCTTTCTCCTTCCTGAGGCTTGAATTTAATTTCACTTTTTAGGTCACTTATCTCACCCCACAATGTATGAGGATTGAAACAGTAAATAATGTTCTCTTAATGTAAACTATATGATTTATTTTCCACTTCTAAAACAATGTATATAGGAAATTTCACAGCTATGACTTACTGACCAGATGTTGTACTTGGGAAAAAAATCATTTTCTCCACTACCATTACCTGAATAACTTGATTCTTGAAGACAGATCAGGTAGTATAGTCAAGCTGCTAAAAGACATACAGCAATAAGCAGATGCATGTATATTATAAGACAAAAGAAAAATAATGGGAAGATCAAAATTATAATGTAGTGTCAAAGATTGTCACTACAAAACATAAAATCTGATGTATCTGCATCCAAGAAAATAAGTACTTTTCTAGTGTTAATTTTGCTTTCCTGTGAGATCTAAAATAAGATCTCAAAGGCTACATCAATCCTTTCTGTTCCAGTTCTTAATATAATTAATTATATTTATAGAAATAGTATGGAATAAAAAGAAGTAGATAGGGAAATCAATTAACTTTGCCATGTCTTCAAAACTTCAAATATGTTATATAAAAAGGAATTGGTATTTACCTGTCTATTTTTTTATGAAAGCAAGAAATTGATACTGTTCAACTTCTTCCTTATTCCAACTATTAATTACTACTAAAACTCTTATTTTCATGACCTTTAAATGGGGAATACAGTACATCATAGGGCAATTATTTTTTAACCAAGATATCTCAAATGGCTAACTTGAAGAATGTATCTAACATTCAAGATCTGTGAGACTTGAGGAAATGAAATTTGGAAAAGTTGTGTTTGCTTCTGTGTACAAGCTACTGCTGG